AGAGAGAGAGAGAGAGAGAGAGAGAGAGAGAGAGAGAGAGAGAGAGAGAGAGAGAGAGAGAGAGAGAGAGAGAGAGAGAGAGAGAGAGAGAGAGAGAGAGAGAGAGAGAGAGAGAGAGAGAGAGAGAGAGAAAGAGAGAGAGGAGAGAGAGACTTGTGTAATTCCTTGGGTGGTTTCTTTATAACATAATATCTTGGCTCTTCATCCAAGTCAATCTATGAACACCTGATGAGACGCCCATGGCTATGCGGCGAAACTATCATCCTGTGAAACTGTTGTTTGCTACTGCTGCCTGCGTATTGGTGACACCTTTTTACGGGCAAAATGAACAGGCTCCTTATAGGTCCATCTAAATTTTCATTGTCGACGTAGAGTCTACCTACTGACTACTGTACAAAATATTATCTTCAAGGCGTTAGGTTTGGCACGATTAGGCATATGCGGATAATGCCGGCAGAAAAAGTGGCAGAATTCAGTACTTTTTCTGGTAAGTTTCATGCATGTTTGGTATGTGGATGAAGAAATGGAGCCGAATTCGAGGAATTGCCCGCCACAAGGTTTGTATGGTTCTGCCAATTTCACTGCTTTTCGAGCAGAATCTGCCACCTTTTCGAGCATTATCCGCACACCCCAAGGCACGATCCATATTCACTTACATGATTGTACTGATGTAGCTTGCCCTCCAAACCATCTTCAATGAAATTAATTTTTTCAACCGCGTGAGTCCAGTTATCTCTATTTGCAACATTTCCCATCCCAGTGTTCGCAGGCCTAGGGACAGTGCCGGGTGTGTAGGACTAGTAAAAATAAAGAATAAAAATAAATGACTCTCGCCTCCGTATTTCATTGAGAAGCGCAGTACGGCAATGGCCGCTGCCGTTGATACTGGGCCACTGGTCTAGTATCGTGAGTACACGTGCTGCTCTTCCCGAACTGCATGCAGTGCATGGAATGAACCTATCATACATGTACATGCGCAGATAAGAATTGTTTCGACACAAGTATTTGACTTCCTGAACGTATTTCCTGGAGGCAACACGCACGCTGTACACTGTTGCATCAATACGTTTAGCGCATGCGACTTCGGGTGCGCTCTTTGAGCGAACTGCCAGTTGAAAACAAAGGCCAACCATAGAAACTTCACCACAATTATTTGGATCGCTTCTCAGTTTTATCGGTCGCCCGCCGGTTGTCTTCTTGAATCTTCTCCTTGTTCGCGAGACCTGACTGCAATCGGGTGTTCGTGTGTATCGGGTGTTCCGGTGTCTGAATGACTGTGCCGGGAAAGCCGAAGTGAACCGACTGGAGGTTGATCTGGACCGACGGCGCATGCACGACATTACAGGAGAACAGGATCAATTTTCGACGCAGCGACCATGGCGGTGAGTGCATTCTTCCACGGATACCGGTATGGCCTTCCGTCCTTACTGCGACTCCACTCCGTTTACTGGCTTAGAGTTAGAGTATTACACTAGTGGTTGAAGTGCGGGTGTAACGTGTGTGTTCGCCTTGCCCAG